AAGGGAAAGTACAGAGAGGTGATAGAAGCGGGGGAAATATTGGAAAGCGGGCTACGCGACGAGATAAAACGTTTCATAAAACAGACATCGATTCCGTATTACTCGGTGGCGCGTCAACGCGAATCGAGCAACCCCGTGGCAGAGGTGCTCGACGAGTGGCTGAAAAGTCGGTATCGAGCACTCGACGGGAAAAGATACGCGCTTCCTTATTGCTTCTAACCGTATTCTCTCCTTTGGCCGACACTGCAAACGTCCCTCGCCACCCTCTTATTTCTACCATTTTTCGACCCTTGCTTCATCCTCCCTCTATCAAGGCTCTATATCGCCGCGATCCACGCCGCCGAGAACGACTTATCAAGGGGAGAAATGCACTGCGAGACGATACACGAGCTCCCGGAATTTCCACCAACCGAGACACCTATTCCACCGACCAGGCTCGAACGATGATTTACTAATTCCAGATGGTATAATATTTTACAGAAAGGGGAAAGAAAAAACGGGAAAATACGCGTATTGCATTTTATCAAAATATCGCGTAACAACGCGTTCGATGGTTTTTCCGAATTCAATATCACCCGATGAAACGCGATTCGCCGCGAGTATCGGAACAAAGATCGTATTTTAACGGTCGATGACATATTTTCGCGGAATTGCGGATTTTCAGCTAGAGTCACCGGCCACGATTAACGAACACCGGTCCATCGAATTTCGCGACTTAACGCCGATGTCTCACCGATTTCGAGCTTTCCTCGCGAAACTTTCGTTCGATTCCTCGAGAACTTTTCTATTCCTCGCGTCTGAAGAACCCCGGAAGATTGTTTCCTCGCGGAACTTAAAAATCTTCGTATAAGCGAAACGAATTTTCCCTCCCCTTCGAATTCCTCCATCCGTCTTGGGGTGGATCGATGCGTGGATCGGTTCGCACCCCTGGCGTGCAGAATCTTTAAATTTTTCGGATTTTTCGGATTTTTCGGATTTTTCGGATTTTTCGGATTTTTCCTGATACCATGATAGCGTGGTAAACGGAAAGAATCGCGAGACCCCGTAATTGCGGTATGGAGAATTATACGAAAGCGGCTAATGCTACATAATTATGGCGCATTAAACCTTCGTTCCATAACGGTATTTCACCTGACATTCCCTTCTTCTGCGTCTCTTTTTATCGCCCGTTGTTCCACGACCACCGATTCTCCGCGCTTTTTTCAAGTGCCACGTTCGTTAATGAATATCACAGAGCGAAATATTCCGATTTTAACGAGCGCGGTTTCGCGTCGCTGTACGCAACTGTTTAAAGGTTTCATCGAATTTCCAAGACGAAACATTACCGATAATTAACAAGCGGAACTGGCCGATTTCGGCGCGGTTATCGGAACGTTTCTATAGAGCGGAGAATAAAGCGCGTTTATGAGGTTCCGTGAAAAAAATGAGCTACGAATCGTTAAGCGTTCACCGACACGAAAAGGAGACCGAGCCCGTATTATTTTATCGTTATTTTATTATAATCGCGTCGTTCCCTTTTGCCTGTTTGCCGCGGGAAAGGATTGATAATATATTTATTTAAAAACACGTATTCCATTTTACGTGCGCGGAAATTGCGGCGGATGCGGCCGAATGAAACGTGTGGAAGAGAATTTCGCGGATCGCGGGGATATTTTATAAATCGCGATCGGCAGAGATGCCCGCGCGCATCGATCACGCCCGGCGAAATTTCGGCGCGAGGGGTAATCGAGGGTGTCAGTTTGTCGGGAAGGCGAGGAGAAGGAACGCGCGGAAATTTTCGCCATATTTTAATCCGTTCACGATATACACGACACCGGGGTAGGTTCATCAATCTCCGCCATTTTACCCGTTTTAGCCGAGCCAGCGTCTTTCATCTTCGATCGTTTATTTCGCGATTCGCGCGCGACTGTCGGCCAGCAATGGCTACTCCACTGGAAAAATTTTATCAGCTCGGCCTGTTTAACATGTTCGTCGCCGCGTCATCCATATCTGAGTGACGGGTATGCTTCCGTGGAGGCCCTTCTTGTTCGAGTTACGTAAGATTTTCAGTTGGATTTTTAAAGGGAACTTAATGGAGTAAGCATCGAAATATAAATATAGGATATGCAACGTAAAAATAATAAAAATATACACATTGTATATACACGCGTTACGCGAAAAATATAAAAGAAGCTACAACCGTATTGTTCCAAGTGTCCAAAATCACCTCAAACCTGTTTAGACTGTTTTAACGAACACTACGCGACATGGTATAATGTAATATTTTATCCTAAATGTAAATTATACTATACTTTCTCTTAATTTATATTTAGGATAAAATATTGCATTATACCATGTCGCATGGTGTTCGTTAAAACAGTCTAAACTCGTTTGGGGTGATTTTTGAGAATTGGAACAATAGGTCGTAGCTTTTTTAACATTTCTCGTAATTGCTGTGTAGCGACCAACTTCACACCCTCGCCAATAGATGGATTCCAACTTCAAGGAGGTTCGAGGACTTTCTCGCAAGTTCGCTTCGTATATATACAACTTCCCGACCTTCCAATAGTATCACTATCCGAGGCAGGGCCTGCTAGGGAAGCCTTATACTTATCGATGAGTCCACTATCAGGCCCGGGAGGACGAAATGCATTCCTTCCTTTTCCTTTCGTCCCTGCGACCAGCTGACTTCAACAATCGTGGGGGAGGACCTCCTACATCTGTAAATATGTTCACGAGTGATAAAACTGCTCCAAGTCTGCTACCCTGTTCCATCGTTTCGAATTTGTAAAATGCGAGTTTGCTGATGGCAATTCAAAACGATTACGGAACACGCTGCTGCGTGGAAATGGAGAATTGTAAATTGACCCATCCAGACCCATCCAAATCGTGAGGCCGATAACGTTCCAGTGCTGAGACAGTCGGAGAAACTGAACCGAATCGCGCTGGGCGACGAACGTGTTTACCCTTATCGGTCGTAAGTCATCTCTCACGCGAGACTCGCGATAGTACTTTGTCGCTGCGACAAGACGGAAATCTTTCGCACATTTACCGAAACCAGCTACAACCTAGTGAGTGAGTCACGTGTGAAAAGCTAGCGACCGATAAGAGTTAAAAACCGCGCCCTCTACGTCGCGTTCGCCGTGTCAACGAGTACATTAACCACGGTTTTATCGCTGGGTGCACGTCGCGTTTCAGAGAAAAACGAAATCGTCTACAGAGACCACTCGAGATTTCGAATCTGCTTCGAGCCTGGGAATATACGAACCACGGAATAATTACTCGCGAGTAACAGGGTAAGAAGGTAGAGCGACTGTGTGTATAGGTCGGTCGTAACCGCGGATCGGGGTGGTCGAGGGTTGAGCTGAAAACCTGAGGGATTTTCGTCGAGGAATACGGGATTGTTGTCGGTGTCAGGCTGGTGGTGGTGGAGCAAAGAACCTCGGTCGGGAATAGAATCAAAACTAACTGGTCGAGCGTTGATTCGGTAGACGCGCTCTAGGGGATAACGCGGAGGAAAGGCAAGCCGTTTCCGTGTCGCGCTAAACAGCGTCCCCGAGCGTACGCAGGAGGAATAATAACCGTTAATTGTTTCCTCGACGATGGTCGACGACCCGTACACGCTTGCTGCATCGTCGAAATCGATGTCGATTTCCGCGAGGAGGAGCGTTTTTCCGCGCGGAAAGCTGCCACTTTCGCGATCCACGATCACGAGCGCGACGATCGTAAGCGTGAGCGATTAGGAACGATCCGATGACGTCGTTGGATCACGCGAAACTTTTCCGAACGGTCTACGCAGCTGTGAAAAGTGAAAATCGGAAATGGAAGAGGTATCCGTGCGCGGGTGAAATATCAGACAATACGGGAAGGGTTTAATTGCGTTATCTCTGGTCGATGGCGCGTTCTGCCCTCGCTGGACGATAATTATTTCATCGATTCGAAATAATTATATTCTCTAGTAGGCGAGTTATAATGGCGGCTGGTCGCTGGCGGTTGGCTGCCGCCTCGATGAATCGCGACGAAAGAGACTTTTTGGACCGATTTCGGCCACCCCGAACCTCTACCCTACCCTCG